CCCCAAAACCCCAAAACCCCAAAACCCCTAATATAACAAGTATTATAGAGCCTCCTCCCATATAAATTTTCAATTTTTTACCACTTAATCTCCCTCTTTCCTTACTGCAGTCATCCTCCTCTATCCTCCTGACCTCTGAGCTAAGCTCAGAGGTCAGGAGGTCCTGGGTGCGGAAGAAGGGAAATTTGAGGGAGAAGTTGGGATCTTTAGGAGGGAAGAAATGCTGAGAAGTTGACATAGTTGAGCTATAGAGTGATAAAAATAGGAGATTATCAAACTTTTATTGGAAATCAATACACCTTAGGTGATTTTGAATTTAGGGCTGAATTGACTTCCAATTCCAAAGCCGATATGGTCGTTTTCAAGGTCTTCCTTGCTCACTTCGTAATCCATCTGGGTTAAGAAGAAGGCAGCAAACACCTTCATCTCTAAAGTAGCAAAGCTCATGCCAGGGCACATTCTTGGGCCATGTCCAAAGGTTCTTCTTGAGAAAACATTTTGAATTTTACCTTGTTCCTTAGACTTTTTAAAGAATTCGGATTCGGTGTTATGTCTATCAGGCTCAAAAGTGTCTGGGTCTAGCCAGTCTTTATCATCATTGTTGGGCCCAGCAATTTCTTGCTTCAAGATGGTTCCTTTTGGAATAGAGACTCCACATATTTCAGTATCTTTGTAAGCTTGATAGAAAACTGTAAAATTAAGTGGCGAATCCATCCTCAAAGATTCCTTCACGGCATTTGAAAGATAATCACAAGCTTGGATATTCTCCATTGTGATGGCTTTGTTGAAGTCGCAGCCAGGCACAATTCCAACCTGTGCTAATTCCTTCATTAGCTTCTCCTTGGCTTCCGGGAACTTCTTCAAGTAATAGAGTAAGGCTACAAAATTATCAGCAGTGGTTTCAGAGCCTGCGGTTAGTAATATCATTAAGTCTACCAAGATTTCATCCTCTGTAAACTCGTTGAGCTTGCGGACCTGGTTCCAGAAAGAGTCTTCATCCTGAGACTTCTTCACAATCTTTCTCAGGGCTTCATATAAAGTTAACTTGTTGAGATGGTTCCTCTTCCAAGGATTGATAATGTTTGAAACATTTAAAAGGGGAAATAGTATAGTGAAAAGATTCCCAGATTCATCACTCATGTCCACCGCAAGATTAGCAAAGAAGGAGCAGAGATCGAACTTCTTGGTAGTCCCATCTTTGTACAGATACTCATATGATTCAGACATATGCTCTTCATAGTCTCTCCCAAACAAAAAGCTGACAAGTATCCTGTTTGTTAACAGAGCCATTTGATCTTGCATTTTTGCCTCGCCTTTTGTCTTCATATCCTGAAGAATGATATCTGCATTCTTAAGCATCAGAGGGATATTCTTTGATGAATGGTTGAGTCCCAGAATCTTCGTTAAAGATTTCCTTCTCTCAATGGTCTTCTTAGTTGAAGGAGAATTGACAAAACAGCCTTCGCACATCTTCAGTATGGCTCTTCTTAAGCATGGAGTATTGTCAATATCAGCTCTGTCTATCTTCCCAGGTATTTGGCTAATGACTTCTTTGAGAGCTTTGTGAGAAACAACACCTATTTTATTAGAGCCAGATCTTTGTTACCTAAAAGTAGCCAATAAGCTGATCGAGATTCAAAAACTAAGGAGCTTGAATGGAGTAAGCAAATCGAGGGATCATTCATATGACAGCTTCAGCAGAAAAGTAAGTGGCTAACTAATAAATTGTAACAGTAAAACTCCTTCCATTCTATCTCTAATTTCTACCAACTTTATTAAATTTGCCTAAACACTAAAGGTAAAACTCTAAGTCTGCAGCTAAAAAATTCTTGTCAAAATTTCAGATTTATTTTAATTAAAAGGGTGGAAACTTTGAAGGATGAACACATCATAGATTCTTTTGGAGTAGCAATAGTAAAGCCACATTGAGATTTAGTAGGGACTACAAGGTTGAAACCTCTCTGGAATAGAGGGAAGAAACCTGAAGTTATGCAGAGAATAGGAGGATGCCATTAACCCTGAGAGAGCTTGGCCTAGATTCTTTGAGAAATCGATGATGGCTTGAACAGAAGTTTCATACTTATTGTAAGTGTTTGGCCACCATTATCGAAAAATTAGTATGAGAAATCCAAATAAAATGAACTTCTAAACTTACCAATCATTGGATCAGTCCCTAGGAGGTCAGCTCTGAGATCAATCTCGTTAGGCTTAAAGCTCTGTTGTTGTCTCTTATTGTGGTCATAAAAGACTCTGTTGCTCTGTATATCTTGCAAGTAATAGTAGATATCTCCAAGCACAGGAATGAACTTTGACGACACAAACACATTTTTATATTTGCCATAGAAGCGTCTGAACTTGATCGGCACATAGATAACCTTGTACAGAAGGTAAATTAGGAGGCAGCCCATGAAGTAAGCGATGAGCTTCACTAACTGCCAGAACAATAGATCTATCATATTTAAATACTTTTAGATTAGTCTAAGTTCAATTATTTAAACTATGCAGGGGTTTTGGGGTTTTGGGGTTTTGGGGTTTTGGGG